TCCCTGTCCTCCTCCGAATTTACAACGCCTCCCACCTTCGTATCATCCACAAACTTTATCAGTCCACTCCTGCAATCGGTTCCGAGGTCAGTTATAAATAGATTAAATAAAATGGGTCCCAAAACCGAACCTTGAGGAACTCCACTGGTAACCTCCCTCCAACCTGACAGTTCACCCTTTAATACAACCCGCTGCATTCTGCCCATTAACCAATTCCTTATCCACCTCTGGATTTTCATATCGGTCCCCATCTTTTCCAGCTTAACCAATAATTCCTCATGGGGTACAGTATCAAACGCTTTACTGAAATCAAGGTATATTCGGTCCAGGTATATAGAGCTGGCCAGGGAGGGAGGGTGCAGATGGGTTCCCACCCCAAGCCCAGAGGATACATCTGCTTGTACCCCTGGGCTCAGGCCCCTCGTAGCCCAGTGGGACCGGACGGGGGTGGTCCGGGGGGAGAGATCCTGGACCGAGACTCTTGCCAGTGTGGGGTGACCCCCCAGCTGCGGAAGGCTGCGTGACATGGGAGGAGGTTCCCACACTGCAGCCATTCGCCCAGCGACACCGGCGGGATGGGGGGGCTGGTAGCTGGGGTCCTGCAGCAGAGCCGCTGGGAAGGATCCGGACCCAGTGTCAGGAGGGGCAGTAGCCAGTGAGCTGGGGAACAGCCCAGCCCGGAGGGGATCCCTGCCCCCAGAGCACAAGGGAGGAGCTACCTGCCCGGTTACCTGCCGGTCTGTAGCCAGACCCCTGGGGCGGATGGAGGTGGGTCCAGGGGCAGGGGGACCCGGGCAGGGAGGTGATGCACCGGACCAGGCAGTGCCCAATGCATGCCTCACCCTGATGGGTGTGCTCGGCTACATCGGAAATGGGGGGCCAAGGGGGCCCCAAAGAGGTTGGGGTGCCGGATCAGCTACCTGCAGAGATGGAGACCTGGCCAGACGGCGCCCTGGACATTGCCTGTGGCTGGAGCCAGGGCAGGCTGCTCGGCCCAGCACCGGGAGTCCACCCAGCAGGGGGCTGGAATCTCCAACTCGGGGGGCAGGGGACTGGAGACAGGGCTTAAGAGGGCTGAGACCGAGGCTTTGCCCCGAGGTGGGGAAACCGAGGCACAGTCAAAGGACTGGGGCCTCAAACCCAGCAGCTGAATTCCAGACCGAGCAGCAGGAGGGTCCCTCCTTGGAGAAGCTGAGGGCCCTGTGGACCACCATGTTGCAAGACCCTGGGCAGGACTGCAGGGAAAACTCCCTGGTGAGAAGGGATCCGGTACCGGGAAAGGCCCCTGAGGGAAACCTGAACCGTGGGGGATCTGGAGGCAGCTGGTGGTCCCCCAGAAGTGCCGCCGGTGGCTACTGTGCCTGGCCCATGATGTCCCCCTCTCGGGGCATCGGGCAGAGGCTGCTGCAGAACTTTTACTGGCCCCATCAGTGACGCCGTCTGGCAGTACTGCAGGTCCTGTGACCCTTGCCAGAGGGTGGGGAAAGCAGCTCTGAGACCTTTACCCAGCATAGAGGAACCTTCCAGAAGGTGACCATGGACATTGTCGGGTCCCTCAGCAGGGTGACCCGGTCAGGGAAGAAATACATCCTGGTGGGGGTAGATTTCGCCACCTGCTACCCGGAGGCAATGGCTCTGTCCTCCATCATGGCAGACACCGTGGCAGACGCGCTGCTGACCATCTTCAGCAGAGGGGGTCCCCCGGGAGGTCCTTACAGACCAGGACTCCAATGTCGGTCAGCCCCACTCCAGTGCCTGTGGGAGAAGTGTGGGGTCTGGCCCACCTGGGCCTCGGCGTATCACCCCCAGTCCAACGGGCTGGTGGAGTCAGAGATGTAATGGGACCCCGAAGATGATGCTGAAGACTTTCACGGACCGGCATCCACAGGACGGGGACTAGTATTTACCCCACCTGCTGTCCGCGTACAGGGAAGTGCCCCAGGAAGCCACAGGGGTCTCTCCTTTGTGGTTGCTGTATGGGAGGGAAGTAAGGGG